AGAGAAAATCTTTCTTATATCCGGGTTTCTCTTATAACAGGCTCTCTTATATCCGGGTCTCTTATATCCAGGTTACACTATATTTAAGTTTGTATATAATTCCAATACAAACTCCTTCAGTTCTCATCGAAGATTTTGCATATGTGCTTGCGATTAGTCCCCTGATCTTTCATTCAGATGCGGACATATTCTCCTTTGCAATGCTTCAGAGTCAGCCGAAATCTTCTTGTAGGTGAATATGTTTATATCTCCCTATAAAATTCCATTCACTTTCGCAGCGCTGTAATTTAGCTTCACTATATCTTTGCTATAAATATTTTTATAGTAATTGTTCTGATGAACTCACCTCTTCTGTACCTAGACTGTATGAATGCAACCGTACTACTGAATTAGAGGCAAGATCTTAGCTATTTCAAGTCGAAATGTTTAGATGTAACTGCAAGTTTTGTACAAATAGTTTATCACTTCTCGTTTGTGGCACTGTCTTTCGACTTTGTTTTCCAGACAGCTTTCATCTTCAAAGATTCAATTACGATCATTAAGTATTCCCACCACATAAACAAGTTGATTGAAAAATAATTCGCGATTTTTTGCATGATGGACTCACCCGTCTTGTAAAAAGTATAGTTAGACGGGAGAGACTTTCATGCATCAAATTGGGGGTTATTTTCAATTAGCTCAATGTAAAACTCCACAACCGTTGTCTTTATATATTGAGGAACATGAAGCAAACAGTTTTGGACATCAGATTTTCTAGTAAATTCACCGGGTAATTTATTATTGCATTCAGGCTTCATTTTCAAATTAATACCTGATCCCTTTGAGACAATTGATGAATTTGTACAAATTGAAATTTATTACTTCCAATTTTTTTTTATTCACTCACTAGCAGCATGGCCTGGCGTTGCCCGTGCTTGATTCAAAAATCGTACGACTCATACAGCAATCGCTATCACTTGACTTAAAATATTTTTGCCCTTCCTTGCCTTTAAAGGAGTGCCCTTTGCCGTGCTGATGTTGCTACATGCCTTACTTCTTGCCTATTTCACACTGCGATTTTTTTCTAAGCTCTATACTAAACATTAAATCTGTTAGGAAAAAAGAACTCAACAAAATGAACACAAAACGATCAGCTTCAAAAAAGGACTCGTAACTGGAAAAACCGAATGAAAAAAGAATGTTAACAATAAATACTTTTTCACACCCAACGCAGTTCTGCGGAATCAGAATCAACGTTAAGTTTAAGCAAGCGAATGAGCCAATTGGAGTAGAGTGCCATGCAGATTCAAATTTTTCTCACTTGTGACGAATGCAACTATCGATTATTTGCATGCTAGCATGCTAGTTCACATTCGTGTTAATCAGCTGTTGGCTCTCACGCTGGCAAAATGAATCTTCCTGTCTATTCGTAGCAGCCAGCTATAGGCTCTCGCTCTGACCAGTACGACATGACCGCAAACTAGATGAAAACTGCCGTCGAAGCATGAAAAATCGATTATTTCCACTATCGATGGGAGTTGGGAAATGCAAAGTCGGTCTTGGCCTTCCCGCTTACTTGGAGCATGTGCATGTAAAATTTGGTGCAAAACGGTGCATTCGTTACACACACACACACACACACACACACACACACACACACACACACACACACACACACACACACACATACATCCTGCCTTTTATAGATAGAGATATGCCTTTAACTGATTGATTTATATGTTGCATTGTTTCGGATTATCAACCTTTATGGGTGTAAATAACCCACAGAACGTTCTATATTGTATAATAACTTCTTTTTTCATATTTCGTTGGATGATTTTGTCTAGCGGCATATCAACACATCTATAAGTTATTTCATGCCAATTCTAAATATTTCCAACGCAATTGCATGTTTTCACCTACTGATAAATTGTAGTGTTGGTAATTCTTCAATAAATATTTAATTTTTATATGTGAAATTGTATTGTTGGTATCTTTTAGTATAAAAATATTTTTTCATACTTTCATAGCGTTTTGTTTTTGTTTCGGCGTTCACTATTCGCCTATAGCTGGAATCCTAACAGGCGATAGCATCCCGGGTGTGGGGGACCCGGGAACAGTAGCAATCAAGAAATGATTCCACGCTCCTCAAAAACTCAACTCTCCCTATCAGAGGCCTTGTTGCCGGATGTAGTTTATCGTTATACCCAGGATTATCTTTTTCTCGATTGAATGTTACCTTAACAATTTAAAAAAAAAATAAGAATGTTTTTTTTTTCACTAAAAATTCTTACAATTTAACATATAGGGAAATTGTGCATAAGGGAACATGACGAACTCCCCTGCAATTCAAATTTGTCTCTCCAATTTCATATCCCACACACCAATCGCACGTCCATCTCAATGTTACTAAAAGTTTAGTGCTGCATGGCGATTTTAGAGATAGTTACTTGTTTAAAATAATTGTGCAACATTTATAATTACTTTTATTAAGTGTTTGTTTTAATTTTTTAATAGAAAAGAATTGTTAGTTTATATTTATTATTTTCATAAAAAAAAAGTACAGCTGTATTTTCAACAAGAATTTTCCTAAATTGCGAATGTGGACATGCCGTTGTAAATGTTGAGAGACAACGTAAAAAAAACGTTAATCCAAGAGTATGGAATATTGGTGCAATAAATGGTCTGGTGCCCCCTCTGTTCATCTCGAGTTCCTCGACAAAACCCAACTGCATGAATGTTAACGTGCTACTATTTTAGTAACTCGGTCTCACCTTTTCATTGTCGAAACAGCTAAATGTAACCCCCTCTTCTACTCCAACAGCTTCTTTTCTCGCACTTATCGGTAGAGGAACTCCCTTCCTTCTATGATAGATATAAACATCAAATATTAAAATGTAATGACAATCGACAACATATGATGCCTTGAGAATGAGGGTGAACGCTCGTGTCCATGTAAATAACGTCCCAAATGCTTTCTTAATGTCATCAGCAAAATATTTGAGACGTAACCGTAAGTTCTAGGCTAAAGACTTCTTCTCTCGTACTTCTTGCTCATTGAACTCTCTTCCACTTTCTTGCTTTCCAGTCAATTCAGATCTTCAAAAATTTAATTGTAAGTTAATCGTTATCATCTCTCTTCTTAATCCATCTTCTTTTATTGTTCTCTCTCCTTAATAATTTTTTCTCATATACTCTCGCACCCAGTAACCCCTTGCGTCTTAATGGCTTTATTGCCTTGTTTAGGGTGAAACTTTAAAAAAAATGTAGTGAATCTATTTAAGTGGTTACAACGTTACCGTTCTGATCATGAAACACGGGTTCGAATCTCACCAGATTGACTTTTCAAGGAAAAAATTTCGCCACATCTTCCTGTTCTGTTTTACGTGTGAGGAAGGTTAGTTTTTACGTATTTATTTTAGAATAAACGCGACAGTGAATCAGAGTGCTCAATTCATAGGAAAACTTGTGGATCAGCAGTTGCAGTCACTCTTTACAAATTCGTGCTTTTCCTGCTAAAATGCACGACCGAATTTTGTGTGTATGCGTGTGTGTGTGTAAGCGTATGTATGTATGTGTGTGTGTTGCAATAAAAACTACAGTATTTCAGTGTTCCTTTCTTCAAACTGGTGCTCATACCAGATCGTACGCTCTCTTCGAAAAACTGTAAATATCCTTTGCTCACCATAGTTGCAGTACAGACCAAAGCTTGGCTCTCAGGTTATTTGAACAAAAGCAAATATAGCTTAACAAGCCTCTGCAATAGCCATAGATTCGCCACCCTACTAGACAGACTTTGAAAGTGAACTTATATTATTATCATATATCTATAGTGCTAGGTATTGTATTTGTATTTTCCATAACAATACAGTGGTCAAAACTTTCGTATTCTAACCATGAGACCAGGGGTCAAATACTACCATGCTCGATTTATCAGGAACGAAACTTCCTGATGTTATCGGATTGGAGAGGTCTGTCCTAGCGTGAAGCAACCCTAAAAACCATACAACGGATTGACAAAATTTGTGATTAAAATTGGGTAGACGGAACATTTGGGCCGTCGATAGATCTTCTAGCACGTAGTCACAAGTCATCCTGTCCGAGGGCTTGAGCGTGATGTCCTTGTTCAAATTGTTGATCATGCTATCTAACACACTCTTTCCCTGAAGCTATAACTAAAGTCGTCTCAGCATGTTTGCAGTATAAACCGCAAGTGGGCTCTGTGCGTATTGAATAAGCACAAATGCGCCTGAGCAAGCGTCAGCAATAGGAATTTTCTAGCGGCTCTAGTAGACATGTTTCCTCGAATACGAGTGTCCAGCTATACAATCTACTGAGAAGATATCCGCAGAGGCTATTTGAATATTAGCTCGTGTGTATTTGATTCTGAATTTAACGTTAATTCTCTGCTGTGAGTTTAAACAGTGCCTCATTAAGTATAATTAGACGATCGATATAATTAGACAATCGATGGTGTGTTTTATCCTTTTTTGTTTTAACTTAATGCAGCTTGCGCAAGTAATTTAAAAGTGTTAAGGAGAACGAGAATAAAACATTTCCTTTTGTGTCGGACAGATTTACATGCTCAAATGCTAAAATCCCCAGAGGAAATCTGTTCTCTGATTTAAGGCCCCATTAGAGTATTATGTCTTCTGATTTAAATTCGGACTTTTTGTTTTTGATAATTTATTGCTGGATCGTTGAGGTTGGTGGCAAATCGATGCAGCGCGGCTGAATAATTTCCGCCATCGCTTTGAATTGAAAGACTTGTTTGACAGTTGTTCTTAATTTTCAAAATCGATTGGCAGTCAATTAAAAAAAAAATGGTGGTTACATAATTGCTGAGGTGTTATTGTTTCTTCGTGACATTACATTTTTATAAATGGACTATAACTAATCCTGATTTAGTGGACTTACGTCAAGCTGACGTAACACCATTAGCGTATAACAGGGGTTATCGTCTGCGGCCTGCGGGCCATATCCGGCAAATCGTGAGTTTATATCACGTCTGCTCTCTATAGAAAATATTTTACTCTCTCTCTCGCTCTTTCTCTATTTCTCTTTCACCCCCATCTATCTATCTATCTATCTATCTATCTATCTCAGTCTATTCGTATCTATCTATCTCAGTCTATTCGTATCTATCTATCTATCTATCTATCTATCTATCTATCTATCTATCTATCTATGTTCATATCTATTTATCTCAGTCTATTCGTATCTATCTATCTATCTATCTATCTATCTATCTGTCAGGTTTTGTTCATTTTTCTATCTATATATCTATGTTTCCATCTATCTATACCAGTTTGTTCATATCTATCTATCTATCTATCTATCTATCTATCTATCTATCTATCTATCTCAGCCTATTCGTATCTATCTATCTATCTATCTATCACTCTGTTCATACCTATCAGTCTCAGACTGTTTCTATTTTTTTCATTTTATATATGTCTATGTATCTACCTATCGATCTTATTAGTCTTCTCAGATCTTGTATAGTTCCTATCTATGTATCTATCTATCTATCTTATAACTTTAGCAATTCCTTTATTTTTCATTAGCTTTCTATATATGTCTGTTCAAATCTATCTATCTATCTATCTATCTATCTATCTATCTATCTAAAAAACTCCCTATTCTATGTTTGATGGACTCTCCTGCCTAACTACTATTTTTACAAGACGGGAGGAGTCTATCCTACATAAAATAGAGAGTTATTTTTCAGTCACTCTGTATAAATATATATGCGTATAGGTGTTTCTGTGTATGCGCGTGCTTGCATGTGTGTGTTTCTCGCTATAAACGTTATTTTTATTGAGTACATTTATTTGAGTTGCTATACCTCTTCTTTTAATTATTTTCTTAAATACTGAAATTAGTAACAACTGGCCTAGATTAAGAAAGCTATCAAAGAAAGATTTTGCCTCATAGTAATCGAGCATACATTCCCTTTTCCTTTACAGAAACCGTTTCTATAGCCGATATGTACTTTTACCATTTCAGACACAGTGACATTATAAAACATAGGATATGTAGGGTATATAGATTAATTTCAGCGTATAAAATAGTTTTGTATAAGCAAATATGTGTATCCACTAAAAATATTATCGTAATAATAAATATATGCGTGTTTGCGTGTATGTGTATGTGTGAGTGTGTATATGTTTACTTTTTACCATTAAACAACACGATGCCATTGCAGCAAAGCAAGTCCCGATTACCCTATGTACAAAATGAGCATTCTTCGTTGGATCCATTCGATGTGTATATCTGCTAACAGTATTTTCTTAACCGCATCTTCTTAAGCGAATTTTTAATCCATTAATGGAGTTTTTTTTTAATTGGTCGATATTTCTTTCTGTAGCAATATGAGTCCACCTGAGGTTGTGTTTAGCTTAAAACAGCGTGATCTGTCACACAACTCGATATGGAACATTTGCATTCGGCCGATGGCTATTAGTAATTGGAGTCAACTTCAAAGTCAAATAGCAAGAAGATCAAACTGAAAGAAACTGACGGAAAGAAGATTAATTACTTTTTTAGACGAAGATGACAGGACAAAGAAAACTGTTGTCTATAAAACTGACCGTCCCGGAAAAAGGAAAACAAAATATCGCTGAAGGACACAGACGACGGCCGCTGAACAGCGAACGTCAACACTCAATTATACCTCAACCCTACTTCGCTTCCTTATAGCAGTAAGTTACTAGCTAAGAATAAAATCTGCTTTAGTACTAGAAAATTTGTTCTTCACTCGTGGATAACGATATGGCCGAAAGGTAATTTTTAAGCCACAAGTGTTTTACTGGAAGAAACTGCACCCTGTCAACGAACTTGGCGTTTGGTCTGAACAGCAGCACAGCTATAAGCGTTATATTTCCTGGATACATATACTTGAGTATACATATCTATTGTTTCAAGAATGGAATTAATATCTACTTGCCGAGATATCGTGAGGCTTATTGAAGAAATTATTTCTCCTGAGAAAAATTGAACGTGTATTCCTTTTTAACAATGACAACTGATTTAAGGCTAAACCTTTTTAGCCATTAAGTTACGAGGTCTTATTAGAGTAAAATTTTGGCGCCTTTATTACATTCACAGTAATGCATATCTCTCGTTGGAAACGTAATCAGTGTAATTTTATCTACGTATATAGACTTCGAAATGACCCTAAAAGAGAAATGCATTTCTTAAGTAGCACGGTTCAGAATCACACACACACAACCAGACACACATACAAACTCTCTCTCTCTCTCTCTCCCTCTCTCTCTCTCTCTCTCTCACACACACACACACACGCACATACACACATATTGATTTTGTTGTTATCTCTCTCTCCTTCCATGGTATTTGAATGTTTAAATTTTAGTCTAAATTTCACGTTTGAAACGTTCATCATTTTTATTTATTACAATTAATCTCAATATTTTACAGCTATTTTTTTTCCTTTTTACTTTGCTGTTACTGAGTTGGCGAAATGGTCATTCACTCAAGATTCTAGGGATAGATTACTACTAATCCCTCCCATAACACCAAATAAACTAGAATGTCAGTTAAACAGCGCATGTTTAAAAATGCCCTATAGGTCGCCGATCGACTCTCCAAATAATTTATCAAAGCATGCATTCTGGGAAATAACATGAAATTAAACCCAGGATTTTTTTTTAAAGTGGTAGGACTGAATTATTTTTAATTCTTTGTTGAATTTCTAATGCCCATTTCGACTTTAACTAAGTAAAAATTTAGAACCTTTTTTTTTTAAATAGGAGTAGATAGGTTTTCCTAACGCTCGGTCCATGCCCACTTCTCTTGTACAGGTGTAGAGGTTCATCCCTTGTTTAAGAAGGGGTTCCGCTCCCTTTCCTTCTCTCATGCCATTAAGTCTTTGACATGAATTTTTGTCATATATGTGGACGGTGGCAACGTCTCTTCGTTATAAGGAATCCGGGTTGGTAATTTTCTGCTTGCTACTTCCGACTCGTAGTTAGGAGCTTGATATCTTGCACAAGTTATTGAGAGTCTGTTTTAACCAACAATCGCATAATATCGCGGTTCTTGCAGTGCCATGTCGCGTATGGAAGGGTATCCCTTCAGGCAATTCCGTTGGGCAACTCTGGGGTTACACTATATTGCAAGCTGCAGCAGTTCCCTTCCTCCATATGTTACATTAGACGACCGACTTCTACTATTTCCCTAGCATTTACTTTCCTAAAATGTTCAGTAGGTCACCGATCGACTCTCGAAATAAGTTATCAAAGCATACATTCTCAAAACTAACTGGAAATCAAACCCAGATAAATATCTGTCATTTTTAATTCTTTTTTGGATTTCTAATGGATATCTCGATTTTAACTGAGTTAAAATTTAATATTTTTTATTTAAAGATCTTTTTCAGTAGTGGAATATAGGCTTTACTATCGCCCTATACATACTCCTCCCCCTACTCAAAAACAGGAGGCCCATCCCTTGTTTCCTGTTTGGAAAGGTGTTCCAGGTTCCTTCCTGATAAGTTCCGGAAGGTGATATATTTGTTCGAAGTACCAAATTGGTTTTCGACTACTGTAACTGAGTAGAACAATCTAGCAGGTAACCGTAATGGACTGATCCTCGTCGTAGTGGTAGGAAATAGTCGTAGGTAATAGGCGAAGACAATAGGCGTAGCCAAAAGGTGTCGTCCTGCACCTCCACATCAGTCTGCATTTATGGCTGACACCAGACAATCATATTACTGTGAGGGGGGAACCCAGGTCTATGCATATTCATTACATCACTTTCATTTTCTTACGTCTTACTAGTAGAACTGTCATGATGTTTTGTGATATGTGTGGATGATGGCAACACATTTTCATACTGGGTGATGCTTCTCGACTGGGAGTTAGGAGACCGAAAACTTGCGTAGCGTTTAAAGAGGCTGCTCTGATCGCATAATATCGGGGTTCTTGCAGTGCCATATCGCACATTGAAGGGTGTTCTTGCATGTAAGTTCGGTGGGTAACCCCGAGTCCACACTTTGTTGTAGTCTGCACCAGTTTCCTCTCCGTACATCTTACATTAGTGATGTAATGAATATGCATACACCTGGGTTCTCCCTCACAGTAATATGATTGGCTGGTGTCAGCCATAAATACAGACTGACATGGAGGTAGATGGATTACGCCTATAGTCTTCGCCTATTGCCTACGCCTATTGTCTACCACTACGACGAGGACCAGTCCATTACGGCTAGCTGCTAGATTGTCCTACCCGGTTAGAGTAGTCAACAAGTGTATCTTTTTTTTTTTTAACCATTTCACCCCAAGCAAGGCGGGAAGTCACTAGGACTCAAGGTGTTACAGAAAATATAGAGCGAGATCAGATAGGAGTGATGACGAGTAGGACAGCAGATAAACCAAGGCAACTGGAGATATCGATTGACATTACACTTGAATAGCTGGAGATTATAGCTCTCATGGAAACTGGATTAAGGAAGGGAGTTCCACAGGCCAGAAGTACGAGACATGAAGCTATCAGAGTAGAAGAGACGGCTACATTTAGTAGTTTCGACAGTGAAGGGGTGAGAGCGGGATGCCAGCCTCGTAGGGCGCTTGAACTCATGAAGACTGGGAACCAGCGAATGCACCTCTTCGGAGCAATTACCATGAAAGTATTTGTAGAACAGACAGAAAGAGGCGACGGCGCGTCTGTGAGAAAGTGACTGTAGACGAGATTCAAAGCAGGGCCAATTATATTGCATATCCGTCTCTGGAGCCTATCAAGAACCCTGAGGCAAACTGAAGGGGCACCAGACCATATATGGCAGCAATATTCCATGCAAGGGCGAATTGTTGATTTGTAGAACTGGAGGATCGATTCCGGGGAGAAAAATTTCCTGGCGCGGCACAAGGAGCCAACTTTCCTTGCGGTGGACGAAGTAATTGACTCAATGTATTTATTCCATCTCAGGTCAGCAGTCAACGTGAGACCGAGCAGCCGCAGAAAGTTGCTCTCGAGAAGTTGAGTGTCAGACATTCTAAAGGAGGGCAAGGAAGTATTTCAACCATTAATAAAGTTTGTAAAATAATTGCTAACATTCGACTTCTCTGAATTACGCGTTTATTCCGACATTATTAAGAATTTTTTAAGCAATTCACCGCAAGAAAAGAGTGTCATTAGTACGCAATGGGCTACAGAGAGTGTAACTAAGGGAAAAGACTGGGCATATTTGGGTGTTCAGTATTTGTCCATAGCAAGGACCCTAACAGGTTCTACCACCCCATGTAATGGTGATTCTGCGAACAGGAGCATTTAAGATGTGGTTCCATTGTACGCAAAAAACTCCCGATTATATGCCTTGCTATCGGATGTAATTTATCACCACACTCAGTACCAAAGATAACGTAAAGTAATAAAATAATGGAAAAAAAAAACCAAAAAAAAAAACAGATTTTATCTAAATCTTATTCTCACTCCTTTAAACATAAATCCTGTACAAATCTGTCCCTTTACTTGCTCTGGTATGCATCAAAGGGCAAAAAATATTGACACTCACTGGATGTATTGGAACTTATCAGTACATGGGGTAAACATCGTGTCACCTCCATTTGGAGCTTGTGTAAATGGATGGCAGAGCCAGGAATAAGATG